CAACATACTAGTGAAATATATTGGGCTGATGCGGAACGAAGGATGAAAGCATGATTTCAGTAGTTTTTTGTTCATTCTTTATTTCGTTCTTGTGCTGTGGTAATGTTTAGCAGGTAAAACACGCATTCCCACCCACCCACGTGCTGGCAAGCCGTCCATGCATCCATCCATCCAGCCATCCATCAATGTTACAGAGACACACACAAGCACACGTATGTGCATACGTAGTTATCCAGAGCGATAGGGTCTCATATTTCAAGCTCCCGGCCAGGATGCGATTTCAGAGCGGGTTCGCAGACCTCCAGGCCGAGAACTCCGAACGAAAGCCCAGGCCGCCTCCTTATCATGATAAGTAGGGTTTCAAGCATTTCTGAAGGTTTGATTCACAGTTCCCGGTATACATCGGAAGAGTTAGTTTACATATTACATATCGTGTCATTGGATCAGCGAATGCGTGTTGCGGACTTTGTCTCAACCTTTAAATTGTGTTTCTGCGGGCTCTCGTTGCTAGCATCCTTCGTGAAGAGGGCTTCGGAAGTGATTTTGTCGAAGCAGAGGCTTGAACGGCCGTTTGCTCGAGCTTTGAGCAATCTTGGTTGATCCGCATGTAAACTTTTAATCATAAGATATCGTCAAAAGTTCAGGTGTTCTCACGTCGCAATCCTTTCGACTCGTAAGCTGTATCATAGCAACTGTGTCAAAGTTGTGACCTTCTGCTGGACTGTCGTTCCAGGGTGTGTCGCTTGGACATGTTTACTATGGGATAGGAATGTGGCGTCTGTGGGATTGAGCTTGGGGTGTTCGTGGGATTGCTGCTGTGAGCAACAGTTCACCGCTTTAGGGTGGTCTCGAAGAGTGGTTTCGGTTATTTGTCACAGCCGTGTCATTCCTGGTGGTTGGAAAATGTTTGCGGCTGCCAGGTTGGCTGTAACGACTCGAACTCTGGAGGCCGATCTTGAAAGTTAAGGCTCAGAGCTTTGGGGGTGTAGGGTTTTAGGGTTACGTCGTATCTTGCACTATAAGTACCCCGTGCTGAGGGTTTACATAGGCGTCCCGGGTTTCTTCAATTCACACGCAGAGCTGTGCAGGGGTTGCATGTCAAGTGTTCCAGGCTCTAGGTCTGTATTTCGTTTTTCGCAGTAGTGTTTGTTATGCAGGGACTGGGGTGATTATTGGCACGGCCTTGCTTAGGAGCCAGAGTGGCTGTTTTTTTGGAGCGGCGTATACCAAAATGATGTACTGTTTTGCACGAACGCAACAGCATAAGTCTGCTCAGAAGGGCTCGAGAGGTTCGTGGGCTTCGAGGCTGAAAGGCTTGGAATGCTAATTGAGAGTTCAGATGTGGTTTAGGTCGTGGAAGCACCAGGCGTGGAGGCGGCTGAACTGACGGTTTCGTGCCTAGGACGTAAGCATGGTTACAGGGCATGTTTCCGAGGCTTCGCAGGGCGCTTTTGCAACCACTCCGTCCACGAAACTAAACGTCATGTTCGAACTGATGAGTTTCAAAGTGTTGAACGTCTGTTTCTAGGAGGGTCCGGAGCTTAGTGATCTTGGAGGACCCGGGCTTTGAGTTGAGATTTTGTGAAGAGGACTAAGAGGACCAGAAACTGAAGCTTTGGGTTTCGAGTTTACGGACTCAGCGTGAGAGTGGGTTCCTACGTCTGCGGTTCACACCGGCAAGAGTATATAGCCTCCACTCTGTGTCTTCGCACGCGAAGGGCGGTGTGTGTTCAGACAGCATACTCGTGCGTGCCACCAGTAGTAATTATTGCGGCTACATACCGTTTGATCGTCGAGATTCGAGTGTTAGACTCAAGCTCACAGGAGCACTCTTTCTGCAACAACTACGAACTTTGTAGATCATGAGGATGCAAGTCGGCCTCCAGGAAAAGCGGCAAACACTCACGAGAGCACATTCTTACAGACTATGCCGACACTCGACACCCCCCGACCCACGCCCAAATGTGTCAGGCCTTTGCAATCGGCGGTATGACCTGCTATGTAGATTGGCACGGAAACCCCATGCAGGCTCTCATCCGTTTGGCCACTGCCCATGCAAAGCTGAAGCTCCGCCCCGCGGACTGAACTTGACGGTCTTCTTTGAGCTTGGTCTGCCTCTGTTTATGTGTGTGTGTGTGTGTGTCCGCTTTTTTTGCCATGGCAGGTAAAGACACCTGTACGGTTTCATGCGGATTGCAGAGTTTGTTATGGTTTCTAAGGTGGGGCACCGGATTTGTGTGTTTGCAATGGCTTTCGATGGTGGCTGGATAGACGAGTGTGGAGGACCCCCAGAAGACTTCCAAAGCCTGCCTTGGTTTCCGGGCAAATCGAGCAAATGGCCCGTAGGCCGTCCTGTCTCCGTCAACAGATCCTGCGGGGCGTTCGGATGAAGCGAGTTGAAGGCTGCAGGAGCTTCGACTTCGACTTTCAGCGTGTAGCTTGATTGAACTGTTTTGAGGTGCCTACGAGCAAACCTGAAGAGTCTCCCGTCATCTTATCATCACGAGGCCGCCCTACACAAGCTATCTCTACACCATGGAAGCCGTAACCGGCCAAAACAGTTGCTTTTACTGCAGGGATGGAGCACCCTGAGGCAAAGAAGAGGTCCTCGTCGAAGATGTGGAGGTTGCGTATCGGCACCCGGCCTGCACTGGAAGGACGTACCATGAAATGCCCTACGCCCGCTGGCCCAAATCCTACCCCGTTGGTATGCCCCCAGGCCGCCCAGACCCCTATCCCAGTGTGTGTGTGTGTGAGTTTGCACGAAGTAACCACTCATGCAAAACCGCGAGGCCCATCGCTGCACCTTAGCCGGTACCTTGCAGCCATGCTTTCCGTAAGCATTCTGCCCAACTTCTCAGCATTCGCTCCAGAACGGCTAAACTCTGCCAAAGAGGGTGGAGCCTGGACTCAGGTTGATGTTGGCCGCACGGGAGGAGGCGCGAATTCTCAACCGCAAGCCCCTCAATACGAACTTGGTCTCATGTCTAAACATTGCACTTGAAAGCCGCAAGCCCAAGCGTCAAACGATTGCTGCATCTTCCCCAAACTCGGAATGAACAAACCCTGAATGGAACCCTGAGCCTTGAACCACCCTGAGCGACGAAGCAAAACACAAAAAGGCCGATTCCTCGAGCAAGAAACCAAGCCCTTAACCACCGAACTAGATCGTAAACCGCAAGAACCTCGTTAGCCGTAGTCTTTTGTCTCATAGACTGTAGATCCTCAGCCGGCAGCCGTAAGAAAATGCCCGTGGGCCCCGCAAAGGCCTGCGTGGTAGGTGTTCAGGCAAAGTTTGGACCGAGGAGTTGAGAGGTTGGGGCTTGGTGTTTGGATAGCCCGAGAGGTGGGGCTTGTTCACGGCAAAGATTCATAGGTGTTGCAGGTGTTCGGGGTTTTGCGCAAGATCCGGCATGGAAGTGCTTGTGGGAAACCCAAAAAGTTGGAAACCGGAGGATTCGTTTGCGGTTTGCACTAGACTAGACAGTGGTGGCCTAAAGCCGGATTCGCATTTTCAACGGGAAAGCCTTGCATCAGCACCTCCACCGTTTGCTTTCCTCTGAAGCCTAGCTTAGGAATGCTTCATATCATCAACTACGAAGCCAAACATATCAGCAAACTAAAGGGCCAAAACCCTAAAGCTGACCGAACAAGCGACAACACCGGAATCCCAAACCGACAACCTACTAAATACGAAGCCCTAAGCCGATGGACCGATGGACTGCAATGTGGAGGACGTCCCAGAGGCTCCCACGGCTCCAGCGGAAGAGGATGATAGCGACCAGGGGCCTCAGGCCAGCAAAGTGTCTTGGAGCTTCTCCAATTCAAAGCATTTGACAGTCTCCTCTCTCCAAGCAGGAATTGGGATGCTAGATACAGGGCTTCCGGGCTCGAAGGATTCTGGGGCGATAGTTTTGAGCTCCGGGCTCTGGGACTTCAACGGCTGCAGTCAATGGACAGGCCCTTCAATTCCCCGTTGGGGATTTCCATCAAACCTGAACCCTAAGCTCCACCTAAAGCGTGACATAGTTTCGATTGATGATGGGCCTGAGCCTGTGACATGAAACCGTGTGTCGCGCATGACTGGGACCTACAGTATAACGAAGTATTTGTCTCAAGGGCTCAAAGTGCTGCGTTGGCTAAACCTCAAGCCCAAGACTTAAAGCGAAACGGTTCCGGGTTGGGGTTACAGGGTCAAGGGTCTAGATCGCTAATCTATATCTTACTCGAGTATACACTACCCTCCCAACTATATTCTATCATTCAGGGTCGTCTGTACTATTCTGCCGATGGTTGTCCTGCCTGCTGATTTTCAGGGTTTTGGTTTGCCTCTTCAGCAAAGGACGTCATGTACAAGGTTCAGGTCTTTGGGGTGTGGGGTGGTCTATGTGTTTACATTCAGTTCATATTTGCTGTTGCTACGTTTCGTTTCATTATGCTGATACGGTTTTGTCCTTCTGGTTTGTATTAATATAAGGTTACATGCATGTTGTGTTGGTATGTGTTGGTTCCACGGGGGGCCAGGGTTTGTGGGGTGTGGATTTGGAAGGGGATCTGAGGATTGCGCTGCCGCTCGCATTTGGCTCTATGTCACGGAACTCCAAGCCTTAAAGCAACTCGGGCTTCAAGCCCCCAGGCCCCATGCTAAGCCCTGAGGACCGCCATTGTGAAGGGGTTGCTTTCATGCATATGCCTTGCAAGCTCCCCAGTCAGGGACCTATGTGGTATGCACCGAAGCTGGAGCTAGCGATCGCAAGGATGCGGAACCATGATCAAGAACAGCCAGACTTTCCTCTATCACCGAAGAACAGGTGGTAGTGCTTGTTGTGGTGGTGGTCCTGAAACGTTAAGGCCTAGTAAAGTCTGAATCGTTCCCGAAGCTGGAGTGAAGGACAATGCAACGCTTGTTCGGGATTCAGGGTCGATCATCATCCAAGCTTCCCTCAGCCCCGAAACCATGGCGCCTGCATGGCCCATGTAAAGCCCCTGTGATCTGGGGCATGCGCGGCATCAAGCACTATCTATTCGGAAACTTCCTGGGTCACTTCAACGACCACCATGCCTCTCCGTCTGCCAGCGAGGAGGCCCGAAGGCTGCTGAGTGTCGATAACTCGTAGAAGAACCGATTAGGCGGGCTTGTGATGACAACTCCGATGTTGATGCTGGTATATTGCACCATGGATCACGTCAGTCGTCACCGTCTTGTCTATTGCGAGTGTTCGTTCCCGAAGCTGGGACTTTGTGTTGATCGGTATTTGGATTAGACTCGACCCTTACTGCCTTTCTGCACACAAGGGCAACGCAACAATGCTCCAAACATTATGACTGCTAGAATTCGTATTTCGCTTGCAAATGCAATTTGAGCGAAGAGCAGCGGGAACTGCTCTGGCAGTACTAGCGCTGGCGGTAGTAGAGTAGTAGAGGTAGTAGTAGTAGTAGTAGTAGTAGTAGTAGTAGTGGTAGTGGTAGTAGTAGTCGTAGTCGTAGTCGTAGTCGTAGTCGTAGTCGTAGTCGTAGTGGCAGTCGCAGTCGCAGTAGCAGTAGCAGTAGCAGTAGCAGTAGCAGCAGCAGTAGTAGTAGTAGTAGTAGAAGAAGAAGAAGTAGTAGTCAGTAGTAGAAGTAGACGTAGAAGTTGTAGAAGTAGAAGTAGTAGTAGTCGTAGTGGTAGTGCTAGTGGCAGTGGTTGTGGGAGTGGTAGTGGTAGTGGTGGGTAGTTGTGGTGGTAATAGTAA